CTATTACCAACTGAAACACATCCATTGAAAGATAAACAGTCTGTAACCGAAAACATATATGAGTAGATCGCCGCAAATTCTCTTAAACTCGGTTTCCTGTTAGACGTTGACATTATTCCATATTAATTTTCTCTCCGTTGTGTGCTCTCACGTGTATGAGTGACGCCGATTTCGAAAATTAATTAAACTTATGAAAGTGACGCGACGTCCGTGCGGTCTTCCAGGCATTCGTTGTCAATATAAAGGGTCCCGTGAAGAATGGCGCTTTAAGCTGATCCCGGGTCCTATAATGAATAGCCGTCGCGACAAACAGAGGTCGCCTCCTGCGCTGAAGTCACTCGTTACCAACTGAGAACGAAGATCGTGCTGATTAATTACCTAACGCGATGCGACAGAAACCTAAATTCCTCTTTTGAAAAGCTAAACCAACCTAGCCAACGGTTACGTACGTAACAACGGAAGAGAAGTCTGGGATATTTATGGTTAATTAAGTTGTACTAGGCATGAAGTGCAGGTGTAATGTCTCAAACATGTTTATTGTTTTAGTTTCGGACGGCGGAGCGTCTAATATGTGTCATGTTTGAGAGACGGAGCTGATTTTGTCATCATGCAGACTTTTAGCGTTTATAAATATTATAGGCTCGCTTCAACGGTTTCAACTCAACCCTCTTGTTGAAAATCCGCCGACCAAGAATTAAAATGTCATTGGTTTGGTATTTAAACAACTTTCTGAATAGGACTTAATGTGGTTTGAGACGTTGGCGAAGGTTGCAGATTTTAATTAGAGATGTGCAAAATGGATTTTTAAAAGTATGTATTTAAATGCAAAATGCAAATACTTTTCTGATTTCTTATTTCAAAAGTAAAATACAAAATAGATTTCCAAAGATTTATAAACTAATTGTGATGTTTGCACTATATCACTAGCTGCGAAAAGATTGAGTATGATTCATATTTTTCTGTTTGAAATGATCGAGATATAGTTTTGCTATCTGAATGTTATAGCTGCTTTAGTTCAGCAACAAATAATTCTTTTTTCTGATCTTTTACACATTGTTTTAATAGAAAGAAATGGAATCCATAGTTTCTTTAGCTTTGGGTTCATTTAAAAAGTGAAATTTTTCAAATCGTTTTCTAAGAATTTTGTATTAAAGGCATTTATTATCACACCACAGTATCTTATAGTTTTCAGTTTTGGGGTTGTTTTGTCGTAATTCATAGAATTTCGTAGTTCCTTGTTAAAGGTACGATAAGTGGTGATTTTGCAGGTACTAATATCAATTTGGAACTTCAAAACTCCATGGACCATGACATTAAACCCGGAGAACAATATCGATCAAATATTTTAGATGATCCACTTCTAAAGAATTGTTTGGGCTCTTTGGTTCAAGAATTAGAAGGCATTCATTTTTTGGCTTCTAATACCTTCAATGGCCAATGCGAGCAGCTATCATTCATGAAGTATTTCAAATGAATCTTATTACATATTGGCGAAAAGCCCGCCAGTTTAGAAACATATTTTAATCTTCCAAAAGGCAGCAAAAGTATGTTACAATTTGGGTAGTTTTCACCCGATTTATTACATAGGATTCTTTTAAGAATACAGTGTGTGTGGAAGAAGATACTTAAAAAATTCCTCCTAATTCCTACAGTGTGTCGAAGACTCCGTCTACTCAAACTGGCCTAAATATCTGTTAAGTCAAAATATCAATATTGTTTTGCTTTTTTTTACAAACAAAGTATACCCTATAAGACAATTAGTGAATTCATTTGTTGTATTAATATTACCCACTACAGATAACCACAAATTAATGAGGAAAAACTGTTACTGTAGTCACTACCTGGTTTTACGTACCGGTACTTTACCACTAAGCTGCAAGAGGGTGATATAGCACCAATATAGTATAGGCGACACATTTGTCGAGCTAATATATAATCATTATTATTAATAATGAGATACGTTTCCTCATTAATTTGAGGTTATCTTTAGTGGGTAAAGTTAATTCAAAAAATTAATTCACTAATACACCTCATAAATTATTTACCGACGCCTACACTTTGGCGTCATATATTTCAACTGTTACGACGTGATACTGCATGGGAAAATCCGCATTTGAATTATTGGCGAAAATAATAATAGTACGCTTGTCTTGCAAGTTAAAATTGTGCCTTATCGTTAGATATGGGAATTTGAATCCGTTTGCGATGGTAACACAGTTTCCATTAAAATTAATCAATGCCGACCGCAAAAGCGGTTTTCACCGCCAGTTCAGACTCGCAGCTCGTCTAGTGCATTAGATGGTTAGACGCGCGGCTCCTGCGAGCACCCATACACTGGCATTTCCACACACATAAGCACACCGAAGTGTGAACGTACATAAATGCATACGATTCAAATCACCCTTGAACGTGAACGAATGCAAATGTAATGTTGCCTCGTGAAATTTAGACATTTAAAGAATCGCCCCGAAGTAATTCGAGAAAATGGTGATGGCGAATTCGGAATTTAGTGAATGAGAGGGCTGTAAAAGTTGTATGGGAAGTAATTTGTATTATTCCACAAGAAAGGATAATCGGTATTTTAAAATGTGATCAGAAAATAAAGGCGCATTTCTTATAATATGTGACTGACGCATTCAATGCGGCATACACGATTCTTTTTGTGTATTAGTCGCATGTTATCTTTAGCAATTGTCGTAACATCATCAACATTATCATAATCGCCAGGTAGCAAGGTAGTTGGACATCCAATTCTCAAAAACTAGAACATCCCACATCCTTAACTAATTGCGAATCCAGGTCTTCCTCTGCTTCTGTTTACTACTAATTCTACTTATAATATGTCTCTAACTAACTTCTCAGGTTTCAGAAGATACCCTACCATCTTATACCTCTCCTTTTTCGTACTGTCTTCCACAGCGCCTTTTGATCTTGGAGGTACAGGAAAGCGACAGAGAACAAAAGGAGCGCTATGGAAGTCAACGAGGAAAAAGACAGTAAGGATGCGAATCCAGGCCTTCCTCTGCTCTGTTTATTCCTAATTCTACTTATAATATGTCTCTAACTAATCCCTTAGGTTTTAGAAGATACCCATTGGAAAGCAACGGAGAACAAAAGGAGCGCTATGGACATCAACGAAGAAAAAGACAGAAAGGGTGGTGGAGAACACCTTCTGATTCATGGAGGGCTAGTTATAAACATATTAAAAGCAAGCAGGAACAATGGACGATAGAGAAAGACTTACATTAGATTTCACTATTCTTAAACAGTTAAGGATGAGGGGAGTATCAGTTTTTCGGAAGAAATTCGCATGTGGAATGATGACGCTATGATGATGTATTTCACATATATGCTTTACGCTGTTTTCTTTAGTCATTCGGCTCTTCTGTCTTGAATGTTTGTCGACCCCTGGTGAAGACTGCTTTCGACGCTGCTCCAATTTCAGCACCAGTTGCGTGACGCATCAAACGAAAATCCTCAATCATTCTAAACGGATTACTTACGGCTAATAAATAGCCTGAAGACGATATCTCGCATTAAAGAAGATTCCATTAAATTATTCTGGGTGCATAAAACATGCTAAAAAGGGAACCATGCATAGCTGGCATATTATGTCTTATAAATTATCCAGGCGTTTAAAAAGGTCGACTAGTGTCGACAATCGGATTACTACTTCATCATTCTTTCCGCTATTAAAAACTCGGTGCTTTATTGACTTAGCAGCTGCTACGTCAGTTTTAATTACAAAACTCTACTCGACCGTTGCTCCAGTGAGGAGAAACAGTAAACGTGAGAATTAAAATTACAGAGCGCAGTTTGATTTATTTAAACGCTTTGTTAATGCATCGAGTCTAATGGTCCTCTCTTTTCTTTTTCGTACGAAAAAGATCGTGCAAGATAAGAATAAGACTCCCTGATCCTGGCGTCTCATCTAAACTAATTAGGATCGAGGTCGTTTCTCTGCGACAAAAGTTATTTAGCTGTTGGAACAGTTTATAGTTTTCTCCGTACAAAACCTGTCTTCTGTCTGCACTAGTTGAGATACTTAGTGAATTTGAAGGGATTCCCTTAAAACAATGTTGAATACTTAATGTTTAGATACGTAGAAGAATCCTCAGAGGTTTTACGGATTTTCTCGTTGGCAGAAAAAGGCAGATCAGTATACGTATACATATAGTACCTATACATATAAAATGAGTTTTGGTTGGGAATGCAATGATAATTTTTCCTTTCTGATCAAAAATTCAGGGACTTTCAACATTACTCATAGACTAACAATATGTTAAATTTGTGAAAAAAAATTTTGAGACCAAAAAGTAATACAAAACGAAGTATGTACTGGGACANTCAAAAAATGTTAAATTTGTGAAAAAGTTTTTGAGACCAAAAAGTAATAAAAAACGTAATGTGTACTGGGACACATAATACACATGAACTTCAAGGGACAAGTCGAAAAACGAATGGCAACGGACAAGTGGAAAAACGAATCTCAATAATATTTTTACTTCAAGTATTACGGGCAGATTGTTAATGTATTTGTCCAATTTGAAAACCTTCCCGTAAAACTTCAAGTAAAAATTTTGTTGCGATTCTTTCTCCACTTATCCGTTGAAGTTTCACTTCTACTATGTGTCCCAGCACACATTTCGTTTTCACAAGTTTACTGCAGATTATGATTTGGTTTTTAAACAGACCGCAAATAGAGGCAATGATGCCCAGCAACGTGGAGAGTAAAGGTAAAAAACAACAACTGAGCACAGCACACGTCGCCGGGACTCTAGCGGACTCCCCGCTCTTCGCGCGACTGCGCATTATATCCATTAAATACAGCTCCGCGTCGCCAGTCATTCATTCCCTCCGCAGCTGCCGCATCTCCCAACGCGATATACCGTCTACCCTCTCCACGCAGCCGTAACATTTTTTCGTGACAGAAAAAATCCTAATACCCCGTCGTCTATATAGAAGTATTACTTCAAAAATGTTAAAAGCGAAGAACTCACCATTCTCCTCGGATGTCAGGCACGCTGCGATGCACACTAATCATATCGCTTACGTACTGATTGAACGCGTTCTTGTCCCAGCCTTCTTTGATCATTTTCATCACTTCAGCTGTAACAAAGGAGCAACTTAATNAAAAATTTTGTTGCGATTCGTTTTTTTACTTGTCCGTTGAAGTTTCACTTCTACTATGTATCCCAGCACACATTTTGTTTTCACAGATTTACTACAAATTATAATTTGGTTTTTACACAGACCGCAAATAGAGGCAATGATGCCCAGCCACGTGGAGAGTAAAGGTAAAAAGCAACAGCTGAGCACAGCACACGTCGCCGGGACTCTAGCGGACTCCCCGCTCTTCGCGCGACTGCGCATTATATCTATCAAATACAGCCGTTTCCCTCTCTCCGTCGTCGCCAGTCATTCTTTCCCTCGACCGCTGCCGCCCCTCCCCACGCGATATACCATCTACCCCTTCACGCAGCCGTAACGCTTTTTCGTGGCAGAAAAAATCGTAATACCCCGTCGTATATATAGAAATTTTACATCAAAAATGTTAAAAGCGAAGAACTCACCACTCTCCTCGGATGTCAGGCACGCTGCGATGCACACTAATCATATCGCTTACGTACTGATTGAACG